GATTAAACTGGTTCTGATGGGTTCCAGATTAAACTGGTTCTGATGGGTTCTAGAATAAACTGGTTCTGACGGGTTCTAGATTAAACTGGTTCTGATGGGTTCCAGATTAAACTGGTTCTGATGGGTTCCAGATTAAACTGGTTCTGATGGGTTCCAGATTAAACTGGTTCTGATGGGTTCCAGATTAAACTGGTTCTGTTGGTTCCAGATTAAACTGGTTCTGATGGGTTCCAGATTAAACTGGTTCTGATGGGTTCCAGATTAAACCGGTTTTCATGGGTTCCAGATTAAACTGGTTCTGATGGGTTCCAGATTAAACCAGTTCTGATGGGTTCCAGATTAAACCGGTTCTGATTGTTTCCAAATTAAACTGGTTCTGATGGGTTCCAGATTAAACTGGTTCTGATGGGTTCCAGATTAAACCGGTTCTGACGGGTTCCAGGTTAAACTGGTTCCTCGTCATTCAAACTGTTTCCAGACTCGTTTCATTAGAGTTCAGACAGGCTGTAACTGCTGCAATTATTTTTAACTGATTTCAGACATGTTTAGTTTCAATTGGTTCCAGAAGCAGATTTTTGTTTTTGTAACTGGTTGTCACCAATTTAATCTGGTTTAAACTGGTTTAAAGTAAGTTCAGACTGGTTCCACATTGATTTAAATGTACTATCATTTGCTTTGAACTGGTTTTGAAGGAGTTTCACACAAGGAGCAGGTGAACCAACAGAAAAGTCCGACCTGACTTTCAGAACAAAAACAGAAACGTTTTCATATTTTCAGGAATAAACTCAGATTTTCCTCTTTAAAGATAAAACTCAGGATGTGTTTTGTCCTGTTCTCCTCTGAACTTTGGCTTCATGAAAACAGAATCAGAAGTGGAAGCAAGTGCAGCGATGCGTGGAGGAGTCTGTGTGTGGGACGACGTTCTGCTGGTCTTTCAGCGTGCCTGACGTCCTCGCGTGAAGTCACATGGTTATAAAGAAGGGGCGGGGCTTTGACCCTGTCCCGTCTGTCTCTGAGACAACTTTAAGTTTAGGATTGACTCAGTCATACGGGCTGAAGGTTCTCTCCAGGTTCTCAGACTCATCGTCATCAGAGAAGAAGTCATCCTCGTCAATGTCGTCCTCGTCGTAGTCTTCATGCCACTCAGGGACGTACTCTTCATCATACTCATCGTCGTCATCCTCTGCTTCGATTTCGACACCTTCCTCACCAGTGTGATTGTTGTTGTCTGAGTCTCCGGAGTCTGAAGCCCGGTCTGACTTGGACCTGAATGACAGCAGAAAACCAGCTGTTGTTGTATTGTTTTACACATGATTACCAACAAACTAAAATCATCCAGTTTGATTCAGACGGACCTGATGATTTCTGTTAAACAGAACCAGAACCAGAGGACTGAGGACAGGTGCAGCACTCACCCCTTGTTGACGTCTGTGTGGTTGGACAGACTGGACGCCTGAGTAGACTCTGGTTCCTGGTTGCTTCTGGACTGATACCCAACCCTGAAGTCCTGAACCAGACAGACAGAGGAGTCAAACACAGGTTTTACTGGGACCACAGGGTCTCAGTTCTACTGGCAGTTTTTTTAAATTTATTAATTTATTTATAAAAACTAAAGAAATTCACATCAAACAAAAAATACAAATCAAAACGAAAGGCAGCAAAAGAAAAAAAAAACGTATATGTTTGCCCCTATTTTTCTAAAAGAAATAATATTAATTACAAACCATAAAATCCAATAATAGAAACAAAACTACAAATCCAAATCGATCGATTTAGAGCTGGTCCAGTGTTCCACGACCAGGACAAAAACCATACTGCTCTTCCTGAATCCAAGATTCGACTATCCGACAGACCCTCCTCTCCAGGACCCCRGAATAGACCTTACCAGGGAGGCTCAGTAGTGTGATCCCCCTATAGTTGGAACACACTCTGCAGTCCCCCTTTTTAAATTGGGGGACCACCACCCCGGTCTGCCAATCCAGAGGAACTGCCCCCGATGTCCACGCGATATTGTAGAGTCGCGTCAACCAACGCAACCCCACAACATCCAGAGTCTTAAGGAACTCTGGGTGAATCTCATCCACCCCCGGCGCCCTGCCACCGAGGAGCTTTTTAACCACCTCCGTGACCTTGGCACCAGAGATTGGAGACTCCGACCCAGGGTACTCAGGCTCTGCTTCTTCATGGGAAGACGTGTCTGTATGATTGAAGAGGTCGTCAAATTATTCCACCCACCGACCCACAAGGTCCTGAGTTGAGGTCAGCAGCGCACCATCCCCACCATAAACAGTGTTGATGGTGAACCACTTTCCCCTGTGAGACACCGGATGGTGGACCAGAATTGCCTCAAAGCCATACGGAAGTCTTTTTCCCATGGCCTCTCCAAACTCCTCCCATGCCCAAGTTTTGCCTCAGCGACTACCCGAGCTGCAATCCGCTTGGACTGCCAATACCTATCAGCTGCTTCTGGAGTCCCACAGGCCAAAATGCCCCAATAGGACTCCTCCTTCAGCCTGACAGCATCCCTCACTGCCGGTGTCCACCAGCGGGTTTGAGGGTTTCCGCCACGACAGACACCAACAACATTACGGCCACAGTTCAGGTAAGCCGCCTCGACAATGGAGGTACAGAACATGGACCACTCGGACTCAATGTCCGCCACCTCCCCCGGAACATGTTCAAAGTTCCCCCAGAGGTGTGAGTTGAAGCTCCGTCTGACAGGAGACTCTGACAGGCATTCCCAGCAGACCCTCACTATACGTTTGGGTCTGCCAGGTCTGACCGGCATCCTCCCCCACCAACATAGCCAACCCACCATCAGGTAATGGTCACTTGTCAGCTCTGCCCCTCTTTTCACCCGAGTGTCCAAGACATGTGGCTGCAGATCAGCTGAAACAACAACAAAGTCGATCATCGAACTGTGGCCTAGGGTGTCCTGGTGCCAAGAGCACATATGGACACCCTTATGTTTGAACATGGTGTTCGTTATGGACAATCCATGACAAGCACATAAGTCCAATAAAAAATCACGGCTCGGGTTCAGATCGGGGGTGCCATTCCTCCTAACCAAGCCTTTCCAGGTCTCACTGTCATTACCCAAGTGAGTGTTGAAGTCCCCCAGCAGAACGAGGGAGTCACCATCAGGAGTGCTCTCCTGCACCCACTCCAAGGACTCCAAATGGGTGGGTAATCTGAACTGCTGTTAGCCTCATAGGCACAAACAACAGTCAGGACCCGTCCCCCGACTCGTAGGTGGAGGGAGGCTACCCTCTCGTTCACTGGGGTGAACCCTCTCGTTCACTGGGGTGAACCCCAACGTACAAGTGCCAAGATGGGGGGCAATAAGTATGCCCACACCTGCTCGGCGCCTCTCAGCAGGGGCAACTCCAGAGTGGAAGAGTGTCCAACCCCTCTGGAGGAGACTGGTTCCAGAGCCAGAGAGGTGCGTCGAGGTGAGTCCGACTATATCTAGTCGGAACCTCTCAACCTCACACACCAGCTCAGGTTCTTTCGTCACCAGAGAGGTGATGTTCCACATCCCTAGAGCCAGGTACTTTAGCCAAGGATCAGACCGCCAAGGTCCTCGTCCTCGACTACTGCCCAGCACACACTGCGCCCGACCCCTACGGCCCCTTCCACAGGTGGTGAGCCCATGGGAAGGGGGACCCATATCTCCTCTTCGGGCTGTGCCCGACCGGGCTCCATGGGTGAAAGCCCGGCCACCAGGCGCTCGCCATCGTGCCCCACCTCCAGGCCTAGCTCCAGAGTGGGGCCCCAGTGACCCGCATCCGGGCAAGGGAACACTCAGTCCATTTATCCTATTCATCATTAGCGGTCTTTGGGCTGCACTTTGTCTGATCCCTCACCTAGGACCTGTTTGCCTTGGGTGACCCTACCAGGGGCATGAAGCCCCCGACAACATAGCTCCTAGGATCATTGGGACACTCAAACCTCTCCACCACGATAAGGTGGCAGCCCAGGGAGATAATAAACTATTAAATTTGAACCAAGTTTGTATTTTTACTAATTCTATTGCATCATTTCCAACATTCTTTCTGTTTTTACCCAAACAATAAAATGTAGTATCATCTGCAAACAAAACACACACAAAAACCCTGACACATTCACCAAGTCATTCATGTACAAAAGAAACAACTTTAGTTCAAGCTCAGAACCCTGTGGAACCCCACATGCAACACTAGAGTTCAGATCTTAGATCATTTATTTGTACAAACTGTTTCCTGTTTGTCATATAACTTGATACCCACTGTAGTACTGGACCTCTTATGCAAAATTTGTTTAAATTTTCAAGAATACTGTGATCAGTGGTGTCGAATGCGTTCCTTAGATCAACATGATCACTAAGTATTGTTTATGATCAACAGCTATTGTTATTTGTTCTATTAAGTCCATGACAGCCATTGATGTTGAATTCTTAGCTCTAAATATAGATTTTATCTTAAAATATTTAGTTTATCGATGAACTGATCTAATCTGGTCACAAACATTTTATTCATCTTTAAACCATTATCAAAGCATTCAGGTTTTGACCTGGGTACCTGGGTGGAGTGCTGCAGGATGGCCAGCAGACGCTCCTGGATGCGTCGGATGAGTTCCAGTCCCGTGTTCAGGTGTTCTGGCTTCAGCAGGCGGACACACGAGGCCAGGTCCGTGCACTGCAGTAGAGTCTCCTCTGAAGACAGAGAGCAGTGAACAGTCAGACCACCTGACTCACCTGACCCACATGACTCACTTGACTCACCTGACTCACCTGACCCACATGACTCACCTGACTCACCTGACCCACATGACTCACCTGACCCACATGACCCACATGACCCACATGACTTACTACTCACATGACCCACATGACCCACATGACTCACCTGACCCACATGACTCACATGACTCACATGACCCACATGACCCACCTGACTCACAGGACTTATCTGACTCACATGGCCCAGCAGAGACATGCTGTGGTAAACCTTCAAAAAAATAAAGTCTAATTCTGAATCTGTTCCTGTGTATAATTTGAACAATTGCTTTCAGCACACAACTCACATATAAACATTCTTAAAAATGTACACATTTCCAACTGTGCAAGTAGGAATATGTTGTACAAACAAGCTGTCAAATACATGTGCACCAATCACCTGCTGCACATGCACCAATCACCTGCTGCACATGTGTCAATCACCTGCTGCACATGTGTCAATCACCTGCTGCACATGTGTCAATCACCTGCTGCACATGTGTCAATCACCTGCTGCACATGTGTCAATCCCCTGCTGCACATGGATTAACAGGTCTATAGTCATTGAGGGCTGATGGGTCAGTTTTCTTTGGTACCAGAACCAGACAGGATGTAGGGCTTCTTCAGCTTCCAGTGACCACTTCTCACAGTCGTTGTAGTTACAGGCTGTCTCTGAACAAGTGGTTTGTATTCTGAGCCTAGATAAACAAGGTTATGATCTGAATTATCCAGAGGTCTTGCATTGGCGATATATGAATCCTTTAAATTTGTGTAAAACAAATCCAATGGTCCTCATGCAAGAACCGTTGGTACGCACAAATTTGTTCTTAAGTTGTGCGTACCAGTGATTTAGGAGAATTTGTGGCATTCACCAATGTTTTCGTATTCTAAGATTTTTTTCAGATACGAACAAAATTCAGGAGTGGTCCAGACCTGTGGTATATTTTACCAGCAGTCAGTCTGCTGTTATCCAGACGGGTTT